CGAACCCGTGTCCCCTGCATCGGCAGGCGGACTCTCAACCACTGTGCCACCAGGGAAGCCTGACTTTCACTTTTAATAAACAGTCCTAGTGACTCTTATGATCAGGCAAGTTCAGGGAACACTGTTCTAGTCTAAATCCCTCAATTTACAGATGACAAAACAGGTTCAGAAAAGGGAACTAACTCACACAGGGTCACATAGCCAGTTAGTGACTGAACCTGGACAAAGATGAACCTGTTTGTCCAACTGTACCTCCCCAGCAACTTTACAGTAAATCCCCCAAAACAGTGCTGTGTCTCACATATTGTAGGCCATTTAGTATACACCTGTGTGAATGAATAAATAAGATTAGCACCCATCGTCTGCAAGGATTAAGGGAATCGGACACTGGACAGGGAAATTTTGGTGGGGCACAGCATGAAGGAGGTAGAAAATATGTCTGGAACTGGGGCAGGGGTGGGGAAGCTTAAGTGGGGCAAAGCAGAGAGCACAAGGCAGAACAAAGCACTGTGTAGCCCTTCAAAATCCTCAAGTCTGGGATGTGAGCGTAGACAAGATGTTCCGAAAGTACGCTTCTAAGTTCACTCCTCAGTCCCTGGCTCACAACAATGTTGGTCTTCGTCTCTCTCCTCCCCTTCTCCCATGGCTATAACTTTCCAATATGGGGATACTCTTGTCTCAGTCAGGAGGAAGGGCGGATGGCAAAGAGGCTCACTCACCTGATGAGTGTGCAGAACTGTAAGAACGATGAATTCCTTAGCGTTCCTACAGAGAGAAGAGGGAACAGGAGAGTAGTGTATCATGCACTGGGTACTCATCTAGCACAAGAAGCAACACCAGAATTCTCCCCTGGGCTGCATTCAGGTATATGGATTAGGACAGGGGGCAAAAATCTAAATACGTGCGTGGCTGCCTCGCCTGCCATGATTTGTGGCGGCTGACATACACCATACATATAGGTTCACACAGGCGTCTGAAGATGGTACTATCATTATCTGTGGGGTTGTCATTTTTCAGGTCTTTTTTCATATTCCCTCTCACATTCTCTCTGTAGAAATCCTCAAACAGAGAGCAATTTTATCTATAGGCTAAAAAGTTCTCAAGGAAAACTAAAGACCTGAATTATGAAACTCAAAGGGAGCACAGTCAGAGTCCTGGGAAGCGTGCACCATGATTATTGGCAATTTGGTATTTAAGCAAGAGGAGAAACTGAAAGGAGAAACCCAAAGGAGGTCATTTGGTCATCATGACTCATACTCAGCAGATTTGTTTTAATTGAAGGACCAAAAACATGAGAGCCAGGAAGCAACAGATGGAAGGCAAGACTCTCCAGATAGCAAATATTCAAAAGGATGAAGAATTCGAAACTCTTCAGACAAGAATTATGCCAATGATCCAACAAGCTGTGAGGTATGAAAATTCTCTTCCAGGAATACATAATCCTTTAGAAGAACTAAAGGAATGGAAAGAGTTCTCCTGGAAGGAGCTTCCCCTCTCTTTGTTGGCCTTTTTCAAATGTTTCTGGGAACAAAGGTGTTCAGGAAGCAGAGTCAAGATGCCCTTGATTCTGGGTATTCAAGAAAGGCCAAGGCTCCCTGCTCAAGGACTTGGACCATTTCCCACATTCAATGAGGCAGAGTCCAGGGATGAATCATCTGCAGGGTCTGGGAAGCTCCCAGGGGAAGGAAGGAGTTGTATTCCAGGGAAAACACCATAGAAAATCCTGTCTCTTGACCAGGGCAGGTGCCTAGTGTAAATCAGATTATGTGACTCCTGTGCTCCGGCCCCTGCCACGTCTCCCCATGTCATGTAGAACAAAGCCAAAGTCCTTGCAGTAGCTACCACCCTCCCCCTTCTTTACCCCACTCCACACGCTGGCTTCTCCCCTGTTCCCCAAACACACCAGACACACTCCTGCTTTAGGGCCTTTACGCTGGGTTCTTCTTGCCTTCTCTAACATCCTCCTTTCCTTCAAGTCTTTTTTTTTTGGCGACGCTGCGTGGCATGCAGGATCTTAGGATCAAACTTGTGCAGTGGAAGCATGGAGTCCTAATCACCGGACCGCCAGGGAAGTCCCCAAGTCTTTCTTCAAATGTCACCTCCTCATTGAGGCCGACACTGGCCGTGCTATTTAAAGTTGCACTCTGCACCCCTGTGCCCAGCATTCCTGGTCTTCTTTATCCTGGTCCCCTTTCTATTCTTCAATAACATTCATCAACTTCTAGTATACTGTACAATACTTATTTATCATGTTTATTGCTTATGGCGTGTCTCCTTCCACTAGAATGTAAACTCCAATGGGCAAGGATTTTCATCTAGCTTATTCACTGCTGTATATTTAGTGCCTAGAACAATGCCTCATGCACAGTAGACACTCGTTATAATAAATATTTACTGAATGAATGAATGATCTGCTAGCCCCTGAGGTTATCAAATGAGTGAGCTCTGTCTTGACCCAGAAAATGCTCTGGGCTCCCTCACAAAATCAGTCTACCTTGTTCTGGGGTGCAAAGATATCCACTGGAAGCAAAGCAAAGACTTGCGAGGGGTCAGCCTGAAAGAACGCCAGCATACCCTGATGGGATTGAAAGAACTCACCCCATATTGGTGTGGTGGTGGAGTGTGAAGGGTGAAGGGTGGAGAGTGGGGGAATGCAATGGACAAACTGAACTTGGAGAAGAGACAAACTAAGGGTCATCAGGGACCAGACACATGCCAAGATATTAAGCTGGAGGGGGAGCATGTAAAGGAAGACCTGCTCTGGACTTCAGGATGGAGTATTGCACACCCCTCCAGAGCTAGCAAGGGGGTACCGCTCCTCTGCCTTTGAAGGGGAGAGGGGGGGTCTGGAGGCAGGTGGCCTTTGGGAGAACGAGAAAGACAAGTGGGATGGAAACACTCCAAATCAAGAAGGGTTGAGGAGATGGATGCAGAGATGGAACAGACTACAGCAGGCAGAGAGGGAGAGCGGGAGGGCGAGCACAGGGTTCTATTTGAGGGGAGACAGCCCAGGTCCTCCAAACTGAGGTCAGCCCGTGGAATCTAGAGCCATCGTCTCTACCATCTCATTCCTTATCAACACGTGTATGCAAGGGGGCGTGGGGGTGCTGTGTGTGCATGTGGTGGGCATGTGGGAGTGCCTACGGTACGTGCGTGCGTGCGTGCGTGCGTGCGTGTGTGTGTGTGTGAGCGAGCAGGCATGTTTGTAGTGCATGATGTGTGTGTGTGGTATGTGGTATGTGTGTGTGTGTGGTGCCATGTTTTGTGTCTGTGTGTGTATGGTGTGCATGTGGGTGTGTGTGTAGTATGTGGTGGCTTGGTGTGTATAGAGGTAAAGGAGAGGAAAAGTCAATGTGATTACTCCATGGACAGAGGGTGGTGGTCCTGCTAACACCCCTTTCTCTCTCTCACCTGCCCCCATATGGGGAGGGCACTAAGGGGTCACACACACTGTGAGCAAAATCCACAATGGCAGGTTCCCTCCTTCAACCCACTGGCCAGGGATTTGGATTTTCTTCTTGTGTTTTTTTTTTTGGGAGGGGGGGATGGGAAACAGTGACTTGGTCACATTGTACTTATCTCAGAATGTCCTTTGAATGGCTTGTTTGGTTCTCACTGCTCACTTGGTCTGTCTCATTGGTCACTCATTGTTCTCATTGGTCACTCACTTGTTCTCATTGGTCACTTACTGCACAGCAAGTCGAAAACCAAAGGGCATGGGTAAGGGGAGTAGTTGGGTGGAGGGAGGTGAGGTGAGCTCTGGCAGGAGGCTGTCCAGTGATGTGAGCGGTGATGTCTGCTCACATCACTGGACGAGGCTAAGCCAGAGTGTGTGAGGGCCCTTGGGCCCCGGATGTCCTGGGTAGCCAGGAGCCCTGGCTCGGGCTGCCCTCCCTGGGAGGGCTCCTCTCTCAGGGCCAGGGAGAGCTGTGGCAGCCACAGCTACGCCACTGGTGGGATGGGGAGGGCCGTACTCAGCTCTTGCCAAGGCCCTATTACCTGATGAGTTCTATGAACCTCTCCCTGGGGGCTTCGCTCACGTCCTCCTCATTAATAGCCACAATCTGGTCACCAGCCAGGAGCTTGTCCTCAGAGGGGCCTCCTGCAGAGGAGAGGAGACAGGCGTGAGGGTTGGGCGAGCGCAGGCCTGGGTGGGAGGGAGTTGACACTGCCTGAGGGAGCTGACGTGGGTGCAGGTGACGCTGCGGGCCGAGTGGTGCCAGTGGCAGGGCCGCTGTTTGAGCCCTGGGCCACTGCTGCCTGTTGTGGATGGAGGGCAGAGGACTGGAGAAAGAGAATGGAGTGGCCCTCCTTTGGCTGGGGGTGGTGTGGTAGCAAAGGCCTGGTGCTCAGACGAGGTTCATGAGTGCTTCCTGGCTTGGGTCTAGAGAGGAACACAAACTTCCGTTTCACCAGGAGGGATCTACGTGGGCATAGAGAATGGCTTCCAGACTATTGGAGGGGCTACAGGTGATGGGGGGGGGCGAGGAATCTTCTTACTTGAACCATATCCAAACTCACTCGTCTGGAAGGATGTAGGCGCTCACTTGCCTGGAGACAGGGGGATGGACTAAAAGACCTGAAGGGTTTATTTTCTTTCACCTCTGAGACATGCTACTCTCCAAGAAATGAGGGGAACAAGGCATAGACCCTAAATCACGGGCACTTGGAAATTTCCTTTCCCTGCTTCCCATCTCTACTGTCAAGGTTTAGAAAGCAGACCTGCCTGAGGGCCTTACCTTCCTGGTTGGGGTGAAGGGTGGGTTTGAGGGGTGCCCCGGGCTATGCTGCTCGTGGTGTTTAGCAAAGACCTTCTTGGAGGAAAGCTTTTTAGAGATTCAGGGAGAATGAGAAGTTGGACCCAGCTTAACTCAAACCTGAAAGAGATGTTTAACGACATGCCTCTCTCAAACCAGCCTGGACGCTTATTGGGATCCACTCAAAAGGGCCAGATCCCAACTATTCCTCTCTCTACAAGGAAGTGTGCTGTGCAAATTCCACAAACATGGACGATAACAAGGCCACTGTGTCACCTGAGCACAGCTCAATGGCTCTGGGGAGTGGGGCCTGTGTGCTAAGTGTGGCTCAGCCAGCAGGCCCAGTCTCCTGACAGCACAGTGACTTCAGAAATGGGAAGCATGGTGGTGAAGAGTCCACTCTTTGCAGCCAGCCAGCCAGGCCCGGACTCTTAACCTCATATCTGCAATTCACTAGTTGTGGACGAGACATTTAATCTCTCTGAATCTTTCTTTCCTCATCTGTGAAATGGAGAAGTAACATCATAAGAATGTTGGGAGGATAAATGGGATGATGAATGTATAGCACTTAAAACAGCTGATTGATGTTGGTAAGAATTCAATAAATGGTAGTTATCGTATCCTCCAAGGGACAATTCCTTCAACTCATTTCATTCCTCCTATCTACTTCTGCCAATTATGCCCATCTTTCAGGTAGAGGCCACTCTACCTATTCCCTCCCTCCCTTCTTTCCTTCCTCCCTTCCTTCCTTCCATCCATCCATCCCTCCTTCCTTCCTTTTAATGGAGGAGGTCCTCATGGAACTCAATCTCCATCACAAGCCTTGGCTCTCTGATGCAGTAGTAAGCTCAGTTTACTACTATTTTCACGGAATGGTTTGTTGGCGTGTTCAACCATAACTGTTCCTCTATAGGATGCATCTTATCTTTTCCTGTGCTCTCAAAAACAAGTTCTCTGCAATCAGCCTGCCGGCCCTGTGGCCTCCTGTGGTCTCCCCTGTGGCTTTTCCTTCTCTCCACTTCTCCAACCCCCTCTTCTACATTCTGATACCACCTGCAGCAACCCTATGAATTCTGTCTCCTCTGAAGTTAAACCAGGGTCTCCTGGTGGTCTGTTACTAAGTTTTATGTGGGTCCCTCTTTCCCAGGACAAATCTGACTTCTGATCAGAGACTCAAAAACCTTTCGCCAAACTGCATGACTGACCGGGAGTCTTAGGTCAGCCATGAACTCTTGTACTGAATCGTTTTTTTTTTTACTTTATGCCCTCTAGTTGAAGAGCGAGCTTACAAAAATCTTTTTCTTTTCCTTGGAGGATTGCAAAATTCATCAAATTTCTGCTAGACCAGTTTGTACTCCGGCTGCTCCTCTTGACTGAGCGAGAAACTGTTGTAAACATCTAATGCCTCAGGCCCAGCAAGTCAGGAATAGAGCTCCTTTCCGTCTGTCTTTTCTGTCAATGCCTAGCAAGATTCAGAACAAAACAGTGCTCAGGCCCTTTCCCATTTCATTCATGACAGCAGGCTTTTAAAGTTCCGGTGGGGTTCTCTCTTGGTCCACCCCGCACGGTCCCATTCAAGCCCTGCTCCCCCCGCATGGCATTACACAGGCTTAAGTGCGAATCCTAGCTCTGCTGCTTCCTAGCAGAGTGACCCTGGACAAGTCATTTCTCTTCCTCTATGCCTTAGTTTCCTCATTTGTAAAATAGGAATGGTATTACTTACCTTGTGGGCGCAGCTGTGAGGATTGAACAAGATGGTGTAAAGCACACAGTAGTACCTACGTCGATGGCAGGTGTTGTATTGCCTCTGTGGCGTTCGGAGATCTCACTCTCCTCTCCCACCTATGGTCTATATCCTGACTCCAGTCTTTAACGGATGACCTATTTCATGAACGGGTACTAGCCTCCAGAGCCTGATGGCTAGATTCTTGGGGACAGGAACTCTGTCTTGTATTTCCCTATAACCTTGCTGGGCTTAGAGTAGGCGATCAATACATATTTGTTGAATTGAATCGGATGAGTATTCCTCATCCAAGGCAGTATGGCTCTCCTATGAAGGTTCTGTGCAAAGGGAAGTTTTATTAAGACCCAGACCCTACTAAACCATCAACTACAGCCTCTGTCTAGAGCCCAAGCAGCCTCGGTGGTGTGTGTGGGTAAGTCTTAAAAGCCTAGCTCCGTCACACAGTTACTGGTTGGCAAGTCTTCACCCACCCTTCATGAGTTCCTTGGCAACACAGTATACTCGGGTGCTCTGCTCTTTGGGGCGATGTGTGGGTGTTGCGGGGGTAGGAGCCAGGGCCACGGGGACACTCTGAGGGACACCTACCTGGCCTCACAGATCGCACCACCACAGGCCTCTCACTGCCGGCCACGAAGCCAAAGCCGTATATAGGGTCCCGGTGAATGGTCACTTGTCGCAGCGTCTCTGCTGGCAGCTGCTCACATTCCATATCATTTGCGCTCTCTTCCTGTATCACATGACTGAGGGGAAGGGGAAGATGGGAGCAAAACAAGACGCAAAGGCAACTAAGCCTCAGAAGCAGCTGGGAGGGATGCCGATAAGGGTGCTGCCCATGGCACCAGGGAGTTCACGCACATCGCTTCCTACATCCTCCGGCACCAGCAGAGGTGAGGGCTGCCTCATATTTCAGGCTGGAGAAAGAAGAGTCTAGAAAGAGAAGCCACTTGTCTACAGGGCCAGGGCCAACAGAGGAAATTGGCGTCATGGAGCCTGACATTAGAGTCAGTCCTAAAAAGGACTAACAGCTAGTTAGTTCAAAAGGTCATCACCCATTGAACTGGCTATTAACTCCCTAACAGAAACCAGAACCTTGAGGGAAGGGACCACAAAACAGGCAAGGAAGTGGGGAAGGAATGTGAAGTAATTTCAGAATGTGGAGCACCTTCATGAAGTCCCTGTGTAATTTTAAACTTTAATGTCCCTTAGGTTATATATAAAAATAAACTATTGAGATGCCATATGTAAACAAACGGGCTCACGTGGAGGACCCGCACCTACACAACCGTGCATAACGCCAGCTTATTTCAGTTAATGGGAGAGCTGGAGAGCGGCTCCCATGGGCAAGAAGGGGAGCTGCCTCCTGTGGCTGCCGGAAGACCCGAACCCAGACGAGCTGGGAGAAGAGAAATCGCTGCCTCAGTACTCGGGAGAGATTATAGATAGCACTCCTTACTGAAGCTTAGGAATTACACTAGGACTTCATAGAGGGTCTACAGTAAGGGCCAGGGTGAAGCATCCTGCAGGCAAGGATGGGTCTGAGCTCACTATCTGAATGAAGAGCCCTAAGGGGTGAGGACGTGGGGGACCCTGGGCTTTGTGAAGGCACTTGGGTGCAGGGGCAAGGGAAGATGCAAAAAGGGGAATGAATGGCCGGCAGGCAGGATAGGGCAGGTGGAGGTAGAAGAGAGCGGACCAGACCCAAGAGGCCCAGAGCCTCAGCCCCCTGAATTGGCCTAATAAAAGGGATTGAGTTTCCTAGCCTAGGTGTGTGTATTCTCAAAAATTAAGGTTCCAGGCAGTGCCCTTCTGAACAAGATACAGAGGGCCAGGAGCGAATTAATCAAACTAGTGTAAGGTTTGGAAAAGAAGTGGGAGGTTCTGACACTATGGGAGTGATTGTTGACTAGCGAAGAATACCAAATTCCTCGGGAGCAAGTGGTTGTAAGCAATTAGGTTGCTTATCGGGACACAGATTCGGCAGGTTTAGAGTAATCGTATAAAAGAGAAATTCATAGTCCCGGGCTTGTCTCTCTCACAGAAGAACTCAGGCAGGAAGACGGACTGTGGCTGATTTGAATCCGACCACATCAACTCTGGCTGCACTCATGCTGGCTTGGGCTCTGTCTGGTGCCCCTGAGGGAGGTGGAAGGAGCTGCTAAGATGAGGTCAAGCCTGCTGAAGATGAATTCAGAAACTGGCTCCTTCCCTCTCATGCTGGTAAGACAAATGGTCACTCTTCAACAGAAAGTCACTTGGAAGCTGGAACTTGGCTGGCCGGTGTTCTGGATAGGGACCCTCCCAGGACAGGGGCTCAGTGAGGGTGGCCTCAGGTTGGCACCTCCCTCATTTCTGCTCCTGGTGGCAGGCAGGCACTTGGCCTTGAAGGGAGCCAGAGAACATCTTCCTGTAGCCGCCATCTTGCCTCACCCCTACAGCTGCTTCCCAAACGAGCCCTTTGCCTCCTGTCATCCGACCTCAACTCACTGGCACCAAAGGGGCCTCTTCTTGGGATGACACCAGCTCATTTCTGCCATGGGCACCAGCCAGGGCAACCTGGACGATGAGAGCCTGTCGGGCTGCACATCCTGGGGCACATGGGGAGCAGGGACACTGTAAGGAAGATCCAGACACCCGTGGGAGCGCTTGCTACCCTGTCCTGCATGCAGGGCCCCCGGGCCACTGCAGCCTCGGTTTTGCTGCCTTTTTCTTCTTCCAAAGCTGAGGACACGCCAGTCTGCACTGGGCCTTGAGGCACCACCAGTCCTCATGAAAACAGACACTCCTGGTGCCAGGGGACCCAACAAGCTAAGAGCCTTTTGTGACCCAAGTGTTCTGCTTTCCTGTTTTGACTATGTTAATCCATCAACAGGTATTTGTTGAGGGCCTACTCACACCAGTTGGAGCTTTGGGGGGCCCAAGAAGTGACAGATCTCTGCCTTCAAAGATCTTCCAGTCTAGGGCTTCCCTGGTGGCGCAGTGGTTGAGACTTCGCCTGCCGATGCAGGGGACGTGGGTTCGTGTCCCGCTCCGGGAAGATCCCACATGCTGCGGAGCGGCTGGGCCCATGAGCCATGGCCGCGGAGCCTGCGCGTCCGGAGCCTGTGCTCCGCAACGGGAGAGGCCACAATAGTGAGGGGCCTGCATACCACAAAAAAAAGATCTTCCAGTCTAGCAGGGGGCGCGGGGGGAGAGGGGGCAGGTCAGAGAGACAAGTGTACACTGAACAAGAGAATTAGAGTGGTAACTGAGAATAGTATATGAAGTCCATGATTAAGGCCCAAACTGTGTGTTCAGAGAAGGGGGTGGAGGACCAGAGAGGGCTCCCAGGAGGAGACGGGAACCGTGCTGGATGGCCAGGAAAGGGCGGTGATGGGAAGAGTGACAAGAGGCTAAGCTCTGTCTGTGGGTGGCCCCCATCTCCCCACAAGGGACCCGGCTATTTCTCCCACAGTCACAGGCATGTCTCCAGCTGCGACTAGAGCACATTCGTCCCCGGCTTGTCCCTAACAGAGCTGGACCACCTGTCCCTAATTGGATCCTCCCCCAATTCTGCAAGCAGCCATTTTTTCACACTATCTGGGCCTTCCCAGCATCTGTGGTCAGGGAAGAAATACCTCCCTTAACTGACCAGAAGGCCATTTTGCAATGCAAATGGAAGCTGTCCCTGCCCTCATGGGGTTTGCATCTTTCAGTGTCTGCGGCTCAGTCCCTCTGAAATTTGCTAAGTGCCTAGAGACTTGGGAGTGACACTGAAGTCAAGCGGTGACGGATGACGGGAGCTCAGCTGTCCACGGGTCACGTGACTGCCATCCTGGGGGAAACACGCACTTTGAAAGATGCTTGGCTTCTGCCTTCTGGTCCCTTTGAACAGGGCAACCCTAAACAAAATTATGAAGCAGCCAAAGCTTATGGTCCTCTCGCCCCACCCTCTGCCCAGCTTTGTTTCTGGGATCTGCTATTTTCTTCTGTTTGCCCCAAAGAACGCAGTGCCTTCAATCTGTCCCTTTCCTACCCAAGGCCCCCAGAGGTGTCCCCTCACCCTGCGCCGGGCTTGCCTTCTGTAGTCAGTGACCCGGGTAAAGGGCTAGCCTTTTATCTTCTGCCGAATGATAACAACACTTTATAGCCAAGTGTTTTTTTTTTTCATTTTTACACCCATTACCTCGTCAGAAAAATGGTGCTTTCACATCCATTATTGCCTCACACTCGCTAACTGTCCTGCCAAATAGGCTAGGTCTCTGATCCTCCTCCAGCCCAGACTCCAAGGTGGAGGCCAATGAGGGCCTCGGCTAGAGCCAAATTTCTTGGACAGGGCCCACAATCCCAGCACCCACACCCACACCCACTCAGGATCCTGGACTCTCTGGCTATTCAGTCTCCATTGCAGGGTTGGCCCAACCCTGCAGCCAAAGCTCTCCACATCCTGGCTGAGTCTGGCTGGCCAGCCCACATCTTAATTCACCTGTCTCTGATCCCAGTCACTCAGTGTCATTGGGAGAATGAAATGACATCATGGTTACAGAAACACTTTGGAAGGCTTAATGTATCACGTAGATGTAGAGGTGGCGATGTTACTGGTAGCATCATTCAGGGTGGCTGCAGGGGCAGAGGACGGGAGCTGAAGATAAACTTCACCCGCTTCCTACAATCCAGGCCCTTCCCCCATTAACTCCTTGCCTCTAAGTGGCAGCCCCACGATATGCTCTGCCCCCTCGTTTTCCAGGGAACTGTCCCAACGATTAGACGACCTGCCTCCCTGTGGACACCCTGACTACAATTCCTCTTGGGGCTAAATTCATCTCCCCATCACTGTCCAAAGAGGGACTGGTGGCTGGAGCTCATGCTGACAACTGTTGCTAGGCAGGATGTGGCTGAAAGACAGGTGAACTGAGAAGAAGACGGATTGATTCTCAGCTGCTGCTCTCTCCCCTGCACTTTTCGGCAGGAAGCTGTTACGTTTCTAACAGCTAAACTCCCAGGCATCAGCTTTTAGTTCCTCATCCCTCCTTGCCTTTGGCTCCTTTTTCTTTACATTTGGTTCGCTCCTTGGGGAGTCTTGTCACTCCCCTTGCAACTGGCAGGCTATGGAGCCACATGGGGCCAATTAGCTCTCTGATTCCAGTCACAGGAGTCTGACTCTCCTGGAAGCTCCAGAGATCCCGCATGGCAGCTGGGACCCCAGGAGATGCCATCTTCTCCTTGTGGCAGGGATGGGAGCTCCTTCCCTGGGACTGTGAAGGAGCTTCGCTGGGTGTCGCCTTACTAGGACCTTGAACACTAACCCTTCTTCTGCTAAAGGAGAAAGCCCTCACTTGGGCTCCTTACTCTAGCAGTGCAGCTCAGCCTTGAGTGTGTATATGCACCACCTGGGGTTATTGCTACAATAATTCTGATGCAGTAGGTCTGGAGTTAGGTCTAAGTTTCTAGCAAATTCCAGGGTGGTGCCCAGGCTGCTTGTTCATGGACCACACTTTACAATGCTATTCTCAGACGATGAGAGGGCCACAATTACGTGGGAAGGATGAGGTGCTTTCATTCTGTCGGATTATAGCACTGAAGTTAAAACACAAATGCTGAGAGGGTAGACAGCAGAAGCAAAAAGAACTACAATCCTGCAGCCTGTGGAACGAAAACCACATTCACAGGAAGATAGACAAAATGAAAAGGCAGAGGACTATGTACCAGATGAAGGAACAAGATAAAACCTCAGAAAAACAACTAAATGAAGTGGAGATAGGCA